TTTGGTCTGTCAATACATAACTGAAGGATCGATCGACGTATGACCACCAAATTTTCTTTGGTTACTTATAGGACCCCGGCGCATGTTTATAGTATATTAGCTTTTGAAAACATTCAAGTTCTTAGCTATAGATTCGATTTAATATGTAAATATGACGCTAAACTTAAATATGTGTGTCAATCGCGTTAGCGAAAGTAAATGCTTACCTTATTGCTTAACCATATAATTCTTTTTTCGGAAAAATCGAAATTTAAAAAATATTTGTTCTGTGAGCACCAGTTCTATGAGCAATGGCAACCAGGGGGGGGGCCATAAACGTTAACCTCTTCACAACATAGTTCGGTGAAATACCTGCTTTATAGCTTCAAAAATATCCTGTAAATTTCCTATGTTAGTAGTTGAAATCTTTTGTTAAATTCCTCCAAGTATTTTTTAAGCATTTCACCCCAAGCAAAGAGAGAGCGCCACTAACACGTAAGCGCTTACAGAGAGTGACGAGGCGCGTTTGAGGAAAGGATATATACATGGACTGGGATCAGGATCAAGGCATCATAAGATTTCGATTGACATTACATTTGAAAATTTATAGGTTATAGCTATCAGGGAAGCGAGTAAGAGGAAGGGAGTTCAACTGTCGGGAAGTGCGAAATGAGACAGTAAAAAAAGAGTGGGGCCGAGATGCCAACCTAGTAGCACGCTTAAATTCATGCAGTTGGGGTACCAGTGAAAAAAGCTCGTCAGAGCACTTGCCATGAAAATATTTGTAGAAAAGACATTTCAATAAAAAGTATGACAAGAGTTTATGACAATGATGATTTTTATATACTTAACTTTGCTTAATAAAACTGTGCTTACAACGTTCGAATGTCAGACGATCATTTCTAGAAACTTCGAACATGATTCCTTCTTCTATCAATCTTGAGTGTCAAGAACTTTCTAATGTTTAACAGTTTCAAGAACTTTCTAATGTTTAATAGTTTCTAGAACTTTCAATTTCTTGGTAGTTTCTAGAACTTCCTATTTTTAATAATTTCAAGAACTTTCTATTTTTAATAGTTTTTAGAAATCGATTTTTATAGTTCTAGAAGGTACCTCTACAAAATCTGTATACGTAAGTTTTAAATTGAATTTTTGAAAATGGAAAAGCTTTCCTGAACCTTTTATTTTAGCTTTAATTGAAAGTTGAAGTTTTTATAATTTACTATTTCTAGTAATTACACTCTCTGGTGTATTTCAAAGAGAAATTATATTGATCGGAATCGATTTTTTTTTTTCAGTAAAATCGATAAAACCGGCTATTTTGACAAATTTGTAAACAAAAGTTAATTCTCGTTTTTAAAGATCTTTCAAAAAATAAAATATATATTTCTGAAATGTTATTTGAAGAAAATTAGCAAATTTAAAGTAAAATTAATCTGTTTGAAATTAATACTACTTATTTATAGCATAAAATGCTGCATACAAGCATTTCTTAACCACGGGGTCTTGTTTTTCTGACGTGTTAATCGATATATTGACAGCCGAAAGACCGCCGAACGACTTCAGTATAGTGGAGCAGTTGTGGATATGGCAATGAAGATGAGGATAACTCCAAATAATGTAAATCATGCAATTAATCATAATACCTTATGTCAGAGATATAGACAGATATTGAAGAAAAATTCCAGTCACCTGAAGAAGGCCGGAGTGTGAAACGGCCGAAACGTTGTGAATATGGCAATGAAGATGAAGGTAACAGTCCGAATAATGTAAATCATGCAAGTAATCATAATAGCTCATCTCAAAGATATAGAGAGATATTGAAGAAAAATCCCAATCACCTGAAGAAGGCCGGGGCGTAAAACGGCCGAAACGTTGTGAATATGGCAATGAAGATGAGGATAACAGTTCGAATAATGTAAATAATCATAAAACCTCATCTCAAAGATATAGACTCCTTATCCTCTTATTCATTTTCTACTATTTCCTTTTTTCATTCTTATCACAGACCTCAACAAATTTAACAGTAAAACTCTACCTGGAGTGGCTTACAAACTTTGTACTGGGCGAAATTTAGTCTTAAAAATATAGATCCTTTTCTCGTGTATTTCTTCCTCTGATTTGATTTTTATATTTTGCATTCTTTCTGTTTCTCAAACGAAAGTCGGTGGCTATCAAATAAGAAACCATTTTGCTCAGCATTTTGCTCGGCATTTTGCCCTAGAAAGATTTTCAACATTAGAAGGTAGACATGTCATAGACCTGAAATCATTTCCTCTTGTTTCTTTACCGGCAAGAGGCCGTCTTGTCTTTCATAATCCCTGCTTTATATCATTTGCTTACATCAGCGATTTTTGTATCTTGCATACGCGAGTCTTTTCCTTCAATGATGTTAATCTTTGGAAACAAAAATTTTGGCTTCCATCGTATCCAGGAATTTCTTCCAAACAGAATATAAATTCAATTGTATGTTATGACCTCACACTACTCCAAGCAAATCATTGTTTTTCGACATGACAATCAGTCCGCTTTCCAAATGTCTTCATTCCAGTATACCAGAAAAATTTTGATTGGTTTTGGGTCGCGTCTGCTTTCGTTTCGTTTTCTTTATCCTCTTCTTCGATTTGACTCTAGAATTTCTTTTCGTTATTCTCAAACATCCGATTGATCTGCCTTGTTTAAATCTCTGTCCTTAACTTTTTATGCTTCGTCCTTTGACTAAAATCGATAAATTCGATTACAGAAGCCGTTTATTTATTTCTTTGTTCCAATATTCATTTATTATTATGTTATTTAAATCATTATTATTTATGATTAAATCCCATGCCTTCCCTTGTAGCGTAAGCGTAACGGACATCGATGCGGAATGAGATATTTGGCGAGCAGGGTTCAAATTCCAGCCTTGTCAGTTTTGCACAAATTCTCATTGAAAAAGTCATGAATCCGTATTTTCTCCTCCAGCTATGGATTAAATAGCAGGATATACTGAAGTCTGTAGCCTTTGGTGCTACCAGTCTCTGAAAAGAAAATCCAAATCGTGGGAGAGAGCGACGCAAAACCACTCCACTATCTTTTCCAAGAATGCGTGACAAATTTATTGCTGGTAATATTTTTTTCCTTCAAAAGTGTATTGATGGTAATATCTTCAAAAATGTATTGCTGGTAATATTTTTTACAAAAATGCATTGATGATATTAAAATCTAATTTTACACTTTCATAGTGTTTTGACCCCAGTTTGAGAGTTAACTATTTGCCCATAGCTGGGACCCTAACAGGTGCTACCACTCTGGGTGAGAGTGAACCTGGGAACACCAACAATTATGAGGTGGTTCCACACTCCTCAAAACCTCCTGATCAGAGGCCTTGCTGCTAGACGTAGTTTATCATCTTACCCAGAACGCGGATGTAGTTTAACGTCTTACTCAGGTTACCTTATTTAGGACGGGGGTCTTATCCCTCTGCATAGGTACAGTCGGCATATTCTGAACCCCCAGCTGACAGGGTGACATCCTGAAAGGGATATGGCGTTAAAATATTGTTCATTTATTAATATATTTTATATATTTCAAGTTTTTTTGGTTAAAAACTTGAAATATATAAAATATATTAATAAATGAACAATTTTGAACTTTCTATTTGAAGTATTGTGGAATTATAAATCTTGATTATGTTGTCATTTTCTCTTCAAGTTACATGTGTTATCCATTTTAGTTGTTGCCCCTGTTGGTAGTCCTTAAGTGATGTGGTTTCTCTTATTTGGTACAGCTCTTTATGATTCTATAGCGCCAGTTCCAATGTTTAAAGAATGATGATCCTTATCAAAACCCGAGGGTATTTACTCACTTAAAATATTTTTTCGCCATTAATCTTAGGATGAGGTTGTATACAGCTGATAGTTTATTTATTTCTGAACACGTTTGGTGCAATGCATGGAATCCATATGAAAGTCTCAATCTGACGAGGTTATATAAGAATAAGACTCGAGTTTTGGTTTCGTAGCAATAGATAGATAGATAGTAACAGATTCAAATGATATAAAAAGTTAAACATCTCGACTCGAGTTTTGGTTTCGTAGCAACTTGCGGTATTGAGTGAAACTATCTCTAGCACAATCTATTCTATGTTCAATTTTCTTTTCTGCTTCACTTAATTTGTTATAATTGATCCATAGGCCGCAGTATCTAAAGTGTTTAGTATCTGCTAATTTCATATTCTGTATTTTAATGATGGATTCACAATAAGTGCCAATACTGCTTTCATTCCAATTCCAGATTATAGTTTCTGTTTTGAAAAGGTTAATCTTGTCCTATTTTCTTGGAATAATTGATAGCATAACCCACCAGTTCACAGAGTATTTACGATATGATTGTACACAATCAGAGAATAAATTGTACTTCGTAGGATCTTTTTATCATTCATTTACAAAACAGTCTACATGACCCGATACAATTTCGACCTTGTACCGCACAGCTTTGTCAAATATATCACTGATACAGATATTTGCATTGTTTTTAGGATTTAGATTTTAAAACCATTGAAAAACTAACTTCCTATTCCCACTGAGGGCCAGCAGCATTTTTATTACCATTCAGAATTCCAAAAAGTTTAGAATTATTTTTAAAAAATTGTCTATTACACAGAATCTTTCTTAGGTTCTTCATTGGTGTCCCTGCGCAAAACTAAACTAGCCTTAATAAATATCAATGTTTTCTTTACAGTTTCCATCGAG